ATGACATCTGATTTGAAAATCGGGCGCTGATTTTCACCACTCGGGCTTCTTTAACTTCTCAAGAACTTGGGTAGGTTCGCCAAATTTCACAGATACATAGCTAAAGGTACTAGCCTCCAAATGGTATAGTAGCCCGCTTCCCTATCCCCTTTGCTTTTCTGCCATTCCTCTATATGTCTCGGCACTTTTGAATGGGATGACCTAATAGTTAACAAGACAGCACTTCCACTTTAAATGGATAAGGTCCCAAAGCGGATAACTTTTTTGAGAGGCCTCTGCCGTCGCGCTCGCCTCAAAACGGAAATGAAGATACGCACCTTCCATGAGCTTCTTCTATAACCAACTAACCGTAGACACCGCTTTCAATAACCTCAAAAATGAAACATCCGATAGTACCTGTATTTCAACAACATCCTGGCGTAGAATCTTGTAATGACCAAGAGTAACCACTGGCCGAGGTCACGAACCACTACCAATGTCACCGGTACGAAAATGAAACCATAGATGATAACGAACCACTGGCCAGCACGAGTCTCAGGTGCGATTGATCCTGAAATGATGCTTTGCTGAGTGAAATTTGAAAATCGAACGCATGCGTTTGGAGGTTACTCAAAGACACAGTCCACTATGGCTGAGTGGACGGGGATTCAGCGAACTTCGAGCACCTTTCCTCATCCATTCTTTCGGTGCAACACTCTTGTCCTGTCTAAAGCGTGTCATGACCTCGAACGGCTAGTGGGAGGAGTTAGGTGGCGAGTTGTAGCAATACCAGTACCAGTTGTACCATTGTACCAGTTGGGAGGGATGCTCTTCCTTCCTAGAGAGGAAAGCCCCCCCTTCCCCGCTCTGCAAAGTACGTAGTCGACTGTCTTTATCTACACCCTAGTGAACAGCTTGTTATAAGCTTTTGTGCGGCTTTCACCAATATCGGCGTTCAAGGTAACCCTTTTATAAGCAAAACAATTTTATTAAGCAAAACAATTGACCCCCGCTCTCCAAACATTCCTTTTGCTTCAACATTTCCTGTCGTCTAAGCGCGCTGATGACCTTCAGAACGGAACGTTCTGCAGAACACCGGTCTTTTCTGCTGACACCACAACTCGCACTTACGTAACCTGTTCGTTGTGTAGACGTTCATGCGCCGAAGAAAGAAACTGCTGCCTACGTCCATTTGTAGTTCTTCAATTTTCAGAGGATACAGCCGATCGATAGAAACGATCGACCATTGGTAGCGCGCCTTCAGTATTCAACATTTCGACATATGCGGCTAGCAAGAAAACCGACGATTCTCCGTGAACGGATAGTCTGATGTTTCGACGGGGTCTTGAGTGCATCAGTCATACCAGTAAACGAGTTGTTAAGACGCAGGTGTATTTACTAGCTTTATGGCCGCACAGCAAGCCCATCGCTGCATGCGCGCTTCGTCACCGCTCAAGGCCTACCAAAACTCAACCCAAAAAACCAAGTTCTCATCTTGCTGTTTTTACTCTTTGGGGCAGGAGCCTGTCAAGGGAATGGGTTTGGCGAAACGCCAGCCCGTTTTTTCCCATTTTTTTTCATTTCGGCGAGCGACAAGACGCTATCATCTCGTTCGTATTAGTCGTTTTTTACCAATTGTTGTCGTTTACCCATTTCAACAATTGGTGCAGAATGGGCTGGCAGCGCGCCAAACCCACCCTCACTGCCCCATCATCCGCAGGGAATGAGACTGAACCACTGCCCTACTCCGACCCTAATGTTCAAAAAACTGAAATTACCTTCACATCCAACGCCAATTCTTCAGCAGTTTTGTTTTCTGCCATTTCACTGAGATACTCTGCGAGCTGTTCGATTCGGTTATCCAGTATCACTTTCCGCTCAGCAACCACCTACGAAAGATCAGTTCTGAAGTTCTGCCGAAAATTCGATGTATTGATTGAAGCACTGATTTGGAGGACCAGTGGTAGCGAGCAAAGGAATGCTGTCTATCAAGAGATCCTCTAATGACACGTAACCAGCTCTGATTTCCATCTTTTCTTCACTTTCAGGGTGAAAACCAATGGGGGGGGGGCGTTGAAAAGGGGAAATACTCGGGAAACAGGCGAGCTATTAGACTACCAACGCTGGATCCTATCCCAGCCCTCCCTTATTCTTCTCGTGCACCACAGCGTAAGATAATGTAGTGGAGCTAATTTCATAAGTACTGTCTTCACTGGGTATGTACAGTCCACGCTGTCTAGACGGGCGGAGTCAGGCCTGCTATTATTTTATCCCGAAGCGCCTGTGCACTTTATCATGTCTCAAATGAGGGCACAGCAATGAGTGGGGCGCAATGACAGGCCCAGCACAGCCCACTCTGACCGTGAAGGCGGTATCGGGCCTACTACAGGACACCGCCCGGTCAGAGTCTGCTGTGCCTTCGAATAAATTTCACCTCTCCCTACCTCGCCCTCCCCTTTCTGCAAAGGATTTCAGGGATGCCATGATTTTTCAACGCGAAGTTTCTTACCAGTCGCTCATTTGGTGTCTCCAGGTAGTAGAAGACAACGGCTCCAAGTGTTGTATAGGCAGCCAGAACCAATAGAAGTATGATATGACTAAGTCCGACTTTCTTGTGCAAATGTGACATCCAATAGAACGAGTCCGTGAATTCTGTAAAGATCGATTGTTGATTGTCGGGGAATAGTTCTCAAGGTGTGTGAATGGTAAAGATTATTCCAGAAGGAAAGATTTCAAGCTTCAAACTTACTTCTTTCTGTAGATGTAGGTGTCGGCATTACAGTCGCCGTTGGCGCTTGTGATTTTGACATCTGACGCTCAATCATCGCTACCGAACCACCGTGTGGACGTAGATGATGCTCTGAATAATCACCAGTTACGAGAAGAACCCTTCAGATACTAAGCTCAGAAGTTAAAATGTGAAAAGCATAGAATTAGAGCAAATCCGCCACATCATACACTCCATAGCCCGCACATGGAATAGGCGTGGCTTCACAGTCCGCTTGAGCACGGCGCAGATAGGTGTTTCATGGGATATTTCCTTCTGAGACTACTGTCATCCTGTTGTATGTTGGGCAAGAACATGACTACAACTCTCTTGAACAAATGCCCCTCCAAAGGAGCAGTGGCCACCATGTTCAGAAGAAGTGCACACATTCGCTGCAGGATAGAGTGTACCACGAGTTCTTATAGATTCTAGCATTTGGAAAAAAACTGATGGTTTGGGATTTTTGGGTTATTTTCGAAAACACTTTTTTCAGAATCAGCTTGCGAGGTACATGGACGAGCTCTGATCTAAACACACATTCACGATTATCAATTGGGATGATGTTCCGCAAAACTTGCGCCTTACCTTATTCTCTTCTTTTCAAAAATTATGGGAAGGAGAAGAGTCTTGCAAGACGGCGGAATGGGTACGGTTTTTGGACCATTTGCATTATTGCGAAAGCCGTTGTATTAAGTTTGATTCTTTGAGGGTTTAAAAGTGTTGGGATTCATTGAAGTCAGTCTTAAGTTGCAGGACTATTCAATGGGCTATGTAAGTTTTAGGAAGAGCTAGGAACAGAGTCAGGTGCCGATAACTCTGAAGGGGGCATTTAGAGGACTCGTTGTGCAAAATCCGAACTATCGCCAGGAAGATAAAGACTTCTGTCTAAGCCTAAAGGCAGAGGGAAATCCTGAGTGGACGAACAAATTCATGTACGGTAATTCTATGCGGACCAGCTGGTCCTATTTTGCATATGAAATCCCTTCTGGGCCCCCTCCTTATTAGCGCCCAGAGCTATTAATTATTTCCAAAGATCTCCACGCAGTAACTTTGTGGTTGCTTAAAAATTAGCTTATCGAAAGGCCAGTGAAGATTTCTGGCACTACTTTTCACATCCTGTCAGAGATTGGACAAATTTAGCGCAAGGTACGGCACTTGTCTCCTTGGGCGAAATGACATCTTGAAAACAAACATCGATTTCTCTTCCCCCCCCCCCCCCCAACCTCCTTCCGCACTCCAGTTGTGCGGTCAAATAGTGTTATATCAATAACAGCAGTCAGTAGTCACGATCGTTATTTTACTGTGAAGTAGACCGCGGGAAAACCTGTTCTTTCCTTATGAAAACATCCTGCTTACCGAACTACCAGCACACATTTTATACCTACTACAGTATACCAGCTTTTATGGGATAGCTGTTACCGTACCTGTTTGCCGATTCTTCTCGTACGCATGCAGGGTTGATTGTTCATCGCCATTTTCTTTGGATTTTTCCTCACTTGTACTCGGCTCAATGACCGCTGCCGAATCCATAGGTAATTTGGCGTTCTTCAGAATCGATTTCTGCGTTTCCTCATGTGTTTCTGAATTTAACCTGCTCCTTGTCATATCTGAAAATTTATTGATTTATCGATTTCTAGACTATGAACTCGTCCCTCCCTAGATGGTAAATGAATCAAAAAGCAACGGAGGTAGAAGATTGGGACAGAGGGAGTGACAATGACTTATAGTGGGTTTAGAAGCGATAATAATCAAAAACAACTGTATAAGAGCCTAGAGCAGATAATATCGCAAATAAAGGCTAGGGGTAACTGGTGCAACTCGAAACACCCTGGCAAGTTCTCCTGGGACGAGTCATGAGCGGAAATGCACCCGAAATAATCAAGAAATGTGCTTAAATCAACTTGACACAAGGTTAGTTTAGAGACACGGGGAGGGGGCGGAGTTTCGATTGTCCAGGTGACAGCGCCCGCCCAGTCCCCTTTCATATCATGAAGTGATTCGGGGAGACGTCGGAAAGACCGCCGATTGAAATGGCGTGAAAACCACATGCACAGCGCCCTTGTTCCGGCGCGCCGCTCCTAAAACAGGCCGATTCTTGAGAAACAATAAAAATGTCACTGTATAACTTATAATGACTTCAAGACTTATTCCGTTACTTATGTGCTCCCACAAATCCTAGCCACTGCCTCAACGCGGCGTTGGGGTTGGACGATTATCGCGCCAAAGTGGAAGGTTGCCACATTAGAAGCCTGAGGAAGGCACAACCGGGTGCATTTCAATTCATATGGCCGAACAGTGTTTACAGAATCATGATGTGGGAATGGTCTGGGCTCACTTACGACCCCCCTTCCCTTTTCCTGACATTTCTACCTACAATTTCCCACATTTTCCAGTTTTTCACCCACAAAGATTTTCCATTTTCGACTTGGAACGGGTGTGTTTGTGCCGGATGCCCGGCGGGGGTGGGGGGGGTGAATGAGAATCCGTCGGCAAGCAAATGGGGGGGAGGTGGAGCGGGAACCGCCGGCAAGCAAGTAATAGCCCCTACTGACACAAATAGTACTTATATAGAACTTTGGCAGCCGCACGAACTAAGGGTCTGGCGGATCGCGAAAAAGTGAACAGCGGGATTATTTTTTCCCAGCGTGGCAGATTTTTTCCTCAATGAATCAGCCTGGACGCACCTCCCCCCCCCAACAACGAATAACACGATCCCCATCACGCAGCGCGACAAAAGTCGGACACCCATGTGTTCCATTTACAACACTTAGCAGGTACCCTGTGCTTGAAACACAGCAAAGATTACAGGCCTGTTTCCCTTGAACCCTGGGAGGAACACACCTGCTTCGGCGAGGACCGTTCTGGCGCAAGCTGCAAGAATTCAGGGCCACGGAGGATCCAGTAGCCAGGTCTTAGACGATGAACGCGATCATATACGTGTTTAAAGCAGGACGCTTGCATCGGAATCTCCCATCATTCCCAGGCTAAGAAAGAGAAAGGTTTCTTCTTTCTGGCTAGGGTGGCTTAGGACTGTGACCCCCCCCCCATTTCTACCTTTGATGCTGATGCACCCACGACGACTGATTTAGATTCTTCATAGAAGGTGCTTGTAGATTATGTACGTGGTTTGACTGGGAAGCTCGCGGAGTTTTCATTAATCATTACTATCGTCCGTTACCCTGTCGTCATTACTACCCTGTCGCCGCTATTGACGTCATTGACGAAAGCTCAATGGTATCCAATGGTTCGGACACCTTGACCCAACGCGTTCATTCTATTTCCACCGAGTTTCCCACGTCACTGATCTCCGCAAAGAAAATGACGTGTGAGTGAGACGAACTGGTTTTTTTTTATCTATGAACGATCACTTGACACTGACAACACACGCCTTGTCATCGCCGCGCTACCGTAATCTGGCGGCAGAACGACCACGACTGACTAGCCAGTGCTCATTGAAGCTTCCAGTCCCTTCACCAAGGCAACTGTTAAGACTCGTCAGGAGAGTTCTCTTATTTTGATTCGCGGAGGAAGCTTGTGCTCTACGCGTATATGAAGCGCTTGGTTACGCGTCTTGGCCAGGTGAATCCCTTGTGTTGTGCGAGATTCTTAATGTCTGATGCTGATGGTAGTCGACACCCTGCAGGTAACCTGCTCTTCAATGTATCTATCACGCCGCCATGAATGGATGATCTAGAAAGGGCATTATTGCCCAGTGAACAATCCTATGCAATCGTAGACTGTTCTGGAGCTACAAGAAAGGTCCCCACTGCGGTCATGAAAAAGTGAAACAGATATGAGGCGCGGTCCAGCTTAGGAGGGGCATTATGCACTTTTGCTAGTTTCTTTTGTTACTTGCTGTTAACTAACGTTTTACCTTTCTGCGGCCTGTAGACACTTGTCAAGTGTAAGCGGACTCATGTTATTGCATAGCTTTACAGGCGTTTACAGGTTTTTACACGAAGCGTGGCATAATCAAAGAGAACCACCCCAACGAGCCGAGCCCAGTGAAAGCGATGAGAAATGTCCAGTTGATGGAGCAAGCGTTCAGTCTACAACTCAATACTCCTGTCGTCCACAACTCAACAATTCCACTAAAATTATAACGAAAATTGGTGCTTGCCGACCCTTCTGATGCCTATGTGCGACATGACGCTGTTCGCCGTGGAGGGGGGGGAGGGGACAGCATATGGCACTTTCGCTACTTCATGTTCGCTGACAGGTCTCACTTCTTCTGTAAGCTCTTATGAAGCGTTCAAGAGGAACATGTGAGCCACTCTGCTCACAGTACTTCTTAGGTCTTCACAAGAATCCTATTCACCCTCCGGTGAGTGTTACTTGGTGCCCCCACCGAGACGTTGACGTTTGTCCTTTGCCAGGAATAGCCCTTTTCAAGAGAATGGCCCCATCATGGCATACCAATCAGATAGGAGTGAGGCAACTGTGGAAGTGATAGGCTGGCTGGCTAGAGCTGGATTTGATTGAGAGATTCTCGGGGCGCAGTCTGTCTTGGTGTGGGCAACTAATGGTACTTGAGGGAGGCTTGTGTAGGCCGCCATCTGAAGACCTGCAAGATCCTGCACTGGACGTGTCTCACACAGGTCTTAGCAAAGAGCGAGCTGTTTCATCGATAAGGGAACCTAGCAAAGGTGCAAAATGCCCTCCTCAGACCGAACAGCGACGACTATGCGAGTATGATCCACTCAGCCTACCTGTATTGAAATGTAAACTTTGGGTGGGCCTTCCTTTAGTTCAGTAATGTTGTTTACTCAACAGAAGAACCTGTACGGTGTTCACCGCGCAAAGGGCGTAAATCTTCTATTGCCTCTTTCCTACTGCGTAAAACGAACGTACAGAGCAGATCATAGGTCATACACTTTTGCTAGGATATGTAGAAAATGATATCAACAAGTGATTGTGGAAATAAGTGAGACTCTGGTGGAAAAAAAATCAAAAAAGCGTAACTCAACTAATCCGAGGCAGTTCGAATGGACCATGCAACTTTTACCTTTCTGGAATCGGATTAGTAGCTCCCGTGTCTAGACCCACTAACTTTTCCTCAGACTTTCTTTCGTAGAATTAGTTCAATAATATTTATATGTACAGTAGCGATTATAGAGGGTTTTTGGGGGCAGTTCGGCGACGGAAGGGGGGGGGGGCATTTTGCACTTTTGCCACTTCGACGTGTCGAGCCATCGAGAGAGCCTTCGAGATTGACAGGTTTTATCATGGTGGCTGGACGAGCTTGCTCCAGCTTCACAAGAGTTCACAGGTTCACCAGAGTGAGACTTGTAAACCGGAACTACGAAGCTTTAAAAGTGCAAAATGCTCCCCCTCCGTTGCCGAACTGTGTCGGGTTTTTGGTTTCTTCCTAGGAGATAAGGACAAGAAATTTGAGCGCAGTTCGGCTTGGAGGAAAATTTTGCTGGTTCCCATCGGTCGCTGCCCTGACGCCTTCTGGAGACTTGTAAACTCTTGTGAAGCAATGCAGTATCCATCAGCGCTCCTTCACATTTGACAGGATTTCACAGGTCTCACCAAGGGGAGACATTGAAATTAACAGGAACTAGTAGAAAGTTGAGAAGTAAAAAATGACCCTCCCTCCTTGAGCAACTACACCGAAACTTGTCTATTTTGGTCTTCTGATTGTGAGTGGTATTCGATGGTAAAGAAAATTAGAAGTGGAATCTTTGAGATCACTACAGCCTCAGCTTGAAGTCATATTTGCCCCACAAAACTTCACACTGGAATTTTCCGAGAAAATCTGTAGCGTATATTGCTCGATTTATTATGCAGAGGTACGTTAGAGCACCGGCGATATTGAAATAAATTACAAGTATGCAGTACTCCAAGGGGATACACCACTAGTCATAAAGGTATCTCGTCAGCAGCCGTAGGAGACGAATACGGATTTCCTTGGTCGATGGCTCGAAGGGTGGCGTAGGCTTGCTGAAGAACTTTGAATTATCCGATTATACAAGGTAAAGTACATATTTGATCAATTCTTTGTGCGACGCAACATAGTCAGCCAGTGGGTTCTGAGTTTTTCAAAAAACCTGTGCAGTAAGTGGATACAAATGATGAGGCATTCTGCATTGATTGAACCCTTTCGGAATGGACCATGTAATCTACTTCCACTCAAAATCGCAACGAATTAAGAATTTGTTTTTCTATCAATTGTCTTGCGGGGCTAACCAATTTTCAAGTCAGTGTTTTTCCAGAGGAATAGATTACCTCTGGAACAACTCCGTGGCTCCGTTCGGATACCGTACTTTCCAGGCCCTCGAAACAGTGATAAACCCTAGTAGGCGCTGGCGACCGCCTGGAGGCGCCAGTGCACGCTGGCAGACGCTGGCAGACGCTAGATCGATATCTATACTTTCCAGTCGCTGACGCTGCCGGACGCTCGAAACGCTTGTGAATGCTGCCGCAAAGCATGAACGCAGCTTAAAAATATATAGGTTGCTCCCTTGGGATGGACGAAAGAATCCCATGTACTGCTTCACCTCCTCCATCTAATGTAACGTAGCGTGGTACACACAAAATAACGATTTCCTCAGGAATTTCCTGTTTCTCTCCAAATAACTGAACACATAAAACAGTTGTGA